ATCGCCAACCCCGTCACGCTTCCTTATTGCCTTTCTTAAATCCCGATCATCGTACGTTGAGATCACGCGTATTTAACTTTTATCTACGCTCTCTTTTATCAAAGTAAAATTGTCGCGTGATAATTCGTCGAATTAGTTCCAAATTTTAATGTTATGAACGTTCGTTTTGAAGCGGAGCGTGAAAGATTTATTTTCCAGAAAAAGAAAATCAAACTGATGTTTAATATCTACATTTCTACGTAAATCTTTTCATTCTTTTTTTTTTCAAGCAATTTGCAACTCATTGTGATTAAAATTTTTATTTCGAAAGCCTGGCTTAAAAGCCCCATTTCAAGAGTTTCAAACGGATATAAAATTTTAAGAGACTTTAAGAGCTTGGTGTTTTGTTATTAAAGTGTTAATTAGTGTCGATTATATAATGATTTATGTAATTTTAATATAATTACGTTAACAGCCAAGATTTTAGAAGATTAAAGAAATATTAACGGGGAGAAAAATTGGTTAAAAGTATGTTGGATGCCGAAGAACTGAACCGTATAAAATGTTCTCTGTATAAAACATCGACGAATGAGATGGCTCTGGATTTACTATCGCGTCTTGGAGGAGGCCAAGAAAGTTTGATAATATTCACCTGAAGAAAAAGCAATACAACGATTTGTTATAATACCACCTGCAACAATTACAATTATTTTAAATCCCTCCTCGCTTAAATCGAAGAGGAAATGAATTTTAAATGGCAAAATATTATTGAATAATAAAATTTGAATATAACATTCCTTGTCACGCTTTGTTAATAAGTAGAAACGTTAATTTCGAGAATGGTTTATTAGTCCGTTTACACAACCCATCGAAACCGTATATTATTCTTTGAACGATATATGTTTATCGCGCTTAATTGGATTGGATTAAATTATAGAAGCGGGGGGGAAAAAAAAACATGTTGCATCAACATTTGTGTTACCAATAAATTTTTTTCAAATTTATTAAAAAAAGAAACGCAAATAAATAATCGTACGTTTCCAATAAATAATTTCACGGAATGGTATTTAAAAATGATATTTTCATCGCTACGATGAAACGTAAACCTCGCTAAAGGGGAAAAAAGAGGGTGTAATTATACATCTACACATCCATGCGTGCAACGTAAACGCGACGTAACGATGACGCGACGGAATTGGATCGTTCGAAATTATCCCTTTCCCGCACACTCGATCCACACACACACACATACACACACATACGCGCGTATTTAATAATGCAACGTTATTAAGATTTCACGAGGGACACGAGAATCCTGTGAAAGGTTTAACGTCTAAACCTAGGATATCATAATGAATACGTAATTAATTTGTAATCGGGACAATCGATCGGTGTTTCAAATTCAAAATTATCAAAACGTGTTTATCTGATATAACAGTACAGAGGAAAAAGTTCCATAATTTCAACTTTGTTTTCGTCGGTTCGAAACTCGATAATTGGTCAAAGTAGGCACTCTCGCTTAATAATAATAATAATAATAATAATAATAATAATAATAATAATAATAATAATATTAATAATAA